CGGACATCACACCTTTCTTCGATGAAGCGCATGTTATTCGCACCACCCAACACACGGAACAACTAAGAACTTTGGAGGCACTGGAAATATTTAAAGCCGATCGTAAATCCGCATGCATTAATTTCAAAGAAGAAATAAATCTCTCTGCAGCATGGCAATTTTTAATTGACGATAAATCATAATATAGTTTATAAGACAAGTTTTATGACGTAATGCACACAATGATTCCCCATTGGTAGAAAATTACATTTGAAATAACAAGTGGATTCCTTCCGTTTTCGGAATTTTTTCGAAAAATAGCACGTTACGTTTTTTCAAAAACATTCGAATTAAAGAATCCGGTTATAACGAAAGATATAAAGAAGTAAGCCTGAAGAAGATCCCAGGAGGGGAATCGAAAATGTTCGCCGATTTTAAAGAATTTCGCACTGGTTAATGGTTAAGGGTAGGCAGTTGTTGGTTGTGGAGAATTATACCTCTGTTGTTTTCCAATGTTGACTCTCCTGATTTTTGGAAAAGGATTAAAACCTTACCTGCTGAGGTAATAAGGACAAAAAAAGAAGCTAAAATAAGTCAATTATACCATAATGGGAAAACTACTGGTGATAGGCAAAAATGTTACAGATTATATGCTCATCACTATAGATCTATGAATGGTTTTGTTCCTGAAGTCCTGTGGCAGTGCTAACTCAAAACATTATACAACATGTTCCAGTGTATCTAATACTTTCTTTTTGGAAAATTCAACTCCTTCAGAAGCCTGTAATATTATAATGAGCTTAAAGAATAGTGTTCTGGACAAACTAAAAGTATCAAAATTTATACTACACTATCCGGAATCTGTAACTGGCACGTGACACGTATATATTGTATACCTCTGTTGACGAGTGTTTTCGAACAATCTCTTTGCTCTTCTTCAGGTCAGCTGGAATTCCCTGGACGGAGTGTATTCTATTTGTTGGGATCAGGTGTCATTCCGATAAAGTGGGTCCTTTCTGACATGCGTGGTCGTGCGCTGGAGGAGGTAGTTGCGGGTTGGCATCCAACAGGGATTGCTAGGCCAGAGATAGTCAGCTCTTCCTTCTGGTTAACACACATGGTTACCCAAAAAGAAGAGCTAACTATCTCTGGCCTAGCAATCCCTGTTGGATGCCAACCCGCAACTACCTCCTCCAGCGCACAACCACGCATGTCAGAAAGGACCCACTTTATCGGAATGACACCTGATCCCAACAAATAGAATACACTCCGTCCAGGGAATTCCAGCTGACCTGAAGAAGAGCAAAGAGATTGTTCGAAAACGCTCGTCAACAGCGGTATACAATATATACGTGTCACACGCCGGTTACAGGTTCCGGATAGTGTAGTGTAGATTTCACCCCGGTGTTGAGGCTAGAATAGTTTCTGTATTTAGTGTCAAAATTATAAAGCATATATATGATATTATAGCTACACCTTTATTGTACCCGATAAATAAGTCCTCTTTGAAAGTGGTATTTTTCCAGAAAAGTTAAATCATAACTTTCTATTACCAACATATAAAGATAAAGGATCCAAGCGTGATATTAAAAATTACTATCCAATTACAATTGTTTCCACTTTAGCAAAAATCTTTGAAAAAATTTTCTACAAAAGATTTTCTAAACATATACATTTCAGATTGTTCACAGTCATCAGTATGCTTATAAATGGGGTTTTTCAATGGTAGATGTGTTAACTCATTTAAAATAGTCACATCACAACTGGATAAATTGAATACAGTGGTTTCGGTTTTAGTAGACCATTCAAAAACATTCGACAGTCTGAATCTTGAACTCTTAGAATTAAAATTGCAAAATGGTTTAAAAGAAATTCCTCTAAACAGAAATTATTATGTTAAAGTTGAACATGCTATCTTTTGTTTTTTTTAAATCAAATAAGGACATTCCCCAAGGTTCTATTTTGGGTCCTCTACTCTTTAATATATATATATAAATGATCTGGTCAAATATATACCAGAAGATAACATTATCATGTATGCAGATGACATAGTAACAACTTATCCTCATACAGAAGCTCAAATTCTTCAAGATAACCTAAACAACATTCTAAAAAAATTAATTACTTACATGGAAATGAATAAGCTACAAATTAACAGTAACAAGACAAAATTCCTCTGCTTTGCTAAGAGAAATAAAGTTAATCTGAATCATTTAAAAATTAAAATAAATGAAGGTGAAATTGAAAGATTAAATGTTATAAAGTATTTAGGAATAAAAACAATGATCATCTTTGTTGGAACAGGCAGACAGCTAAAGACAGAGCAATATCCCCTAGGTATATTGGAATAAATAAAAAAAATTCAAGACTTTTTAAGTATTTAACAGTTGAAGCAATTATATCACATGTGTATGGAATCTAAAATAAGATACAGAATATCTGTTCGGGGAACCACATCCTTATATGCAATTAATAAACTTCAAATAGTACAAAATTGTTTTATTCAATCCATTCATAATTTAACTTCAGAGAATCAGTGTTGAAATACTACAGAATTGATAAAATTGATAAAATATGAAATATTTATATAAAACAAGTTTTGATAGAACCATAAATTTATAAAAGGAAATAAAGATAATAGTTGTCTATGAGGAAATAAAATAAGTGACTACTGTAATGTTTCAACTCAGAATACTCAAAGGACTTATGGCTACACTCTTCCACAGACTCACATTAGGAAAATCTTTGCCAATTTTTGAAATGATTTTATATTCGAACAACTTAAGAGAAGTGTCAAGTTAGTCTACAAAAATGTAAAAAATCTGTTTATATATGTTGTAGTTATTGTTATTAACTAATGATTTAATTATTTTTGTTTTCAATTGTTTGTAGTAAACTGATTGTTTGACACTCGAAAAAGGCCTAATTTTTCAAATAAGTTTTTTGTTTTTATTAATTTTTATTTGTCATCACAAAAAGCACTCATTTTTTATCTGTTGCATTAAATGGGTTTAATAATTTTTTAACAAAAAATCCTATATTATCTTTTAAAAAGATAAAACTAACTAAAATACAGTAGATCCCCCTATAAAACCGTTTCCTATAGTTATGATTCCTATAAAAATTGTGGCAGTATCCGTAAACAACGGTAAAAATAACTCCTATAATACGTAAAACGTCATCGGGCAGCCGAACTACTTTCCCGCCGTCCGTAGCGCCACGCTACGGACGTTTAGGCGGATAAATTGAGTTTAGTATCGTCTGTTCATATAATTATATATAAATTAGGTACTGTACATATAATTATATATTAATTATATATAAATTAGGTACTGTATATATAATTATATATTAACTTAATTTATTGTAACTTTATTATAATTAAATATATATTTTTCGCCGTCTAGCGTCACGCTACGGCGAGTTAGGCGACCTATCGTCTGTCCAGTACTGTAATTTTATACATTTCTTGTGAAAGAAACATTTCTTATTTAACGGCCATAAAAATTATTTATATTAAGGATGTCTCCAAAGGTCAACGAAGTTTTCGCAGAAAAATAATATCAGAAATCGCGGCCGCGGTTTGATGCGCTGTTCCGCGACGAAACCAAGCTTTAGCAACGGGCGTAGTCGAACGGTACACACTCGGTAAGCAATCCTACAATTTTTTGTTTATAACGTAGTTTATACGGATTATTTTCAAAAAAATATACGTATTTTGGAAATGTTGAGTCGAATTAGTCTAGAATCGATTAATTTTATGAAAGAAAACCTTTCAAACAGCCGTAGTCCGTAAACTATGATTCCTACAAAATTGATTCATAAAGAACGGAACGTATCTACTGTCTTATAGGGGGATCTACTGTAGTACCATATATAAACTTACTGTATAGTTTTGTCCTACTATATTCAGAATCTTCCAAAGATTTTCTTCTGTAAAAAAGCAACATATGTATGAATAATTGGTATTTTTTAAAATAAAAATATTCCTAAATAAATTTTTTTATAAATTAAGTTAGTTTAAATTTTATAATTTAAAACAAAACAAACAAACAAAAAAAACTGAACACTGAAAAAATAAAACTAAAACTTGCAATTAATGTAGGATAAGAATAATTCTATCATAAAATATTGACATTACAAGTAACCAAACTACATGTATAATTATTATTCTGAAATTTTGCAATTCATGTTTTACTAAATAATTCTCCAGCTTGGGCAGACTGAATAAGAAAATAGTTCAGTAAATGTTCCATTACTGGTTTTTTTGTTGTGGATTTTAAAGAATTAAAAGCTATGGGCTTTTTTCTTCAAAAACACATCACACAAGGAGCATTTCTTGATATTGATTTTATTGGAGGAAATGCATTTCAAGTCTTAATGTCTCCTCTTCAGTACTTAGACTTTACAAAAGGAAGATATATGTATTATTATGTATCATGTAATCCTAGTCTAATATTTAAAAAATTTTTTTTAAATAACATAGAGTTGATTGTTAGTTAAAAATTAACAATAACATTAAAGAAAATATTGGGTAATTGACTAGTATTATCTGTTTAGAAGGTTTTCTGTATAAGATAAAATAGAGGGGATAAGTAAAACAGTTATAAAGTAAATAAAGTTTAAGACGGTTGTTATAAAATGGTATAGATTCTTATTACCTGTAGATGGGTAAAAGATATGAGGTGGGTGATGTTTAAAATACCAAAAGAGTAAGCTAAGTATTTAATGTTACATAGGGTAGAATCAGGCTGAGTTTGGATCATCCTTAAGTTCATGATTGCACTTACAGAATGCAGTTCTATATGGGAAGGCAGAATAACTTCATCAGAATCTATATGGGGCCATCTGAGGAAGGTGGAGCAAAATGGGATCACTTGCAGATACTACCTTTGAATGTTCTTTTAGCCTGATTTTTAGGGTTCTTCCAGTTTCATCTATATATTGATAATTTGGTTGGCAGCTGCAGGATATTCTATACTGTATATAATGTTATTTTGTTGCATTATATCAATATTTTGAATGATATTTTCTTTAGTTATTAGTAACTTTTTATTAGTGAGGTTGAGGCTGAAGTTTTAAATGCAAAAACAGGTATGTCGAATGTTCAGTGCCGCTTTTCTGTGAGCCTAGAAGTTTGACAATGATGTTTGGAATGTGGAACATGATTCCACTGACTATCCAAACACCATTGTCAAACTTCTAGACTTACAAGAAAGCAGTGCTGAACATCAGACGTACACATTTTTGCTTTTAAAACTTCGGCCTCAACCTCGCTATTATTATTAGTAAATACTGGAACTAGAGTAATATTATATGGTTTTAATAGTATTTTTATTTTTCGAATACTATATGGTTGTAAGTAAGTTTGTCATAAGTCATTTGAGTTGGTATTATATTTTTTTGGGTTATAGTTGGTGTTGGTAAGTTAGTTTTCTAGTATCTTATTTGGATAGTCGTTTGGTTGAAAGATTTCATAAATGTGTTTGTGATATATGTGTATCTACTATGTTAAAAATATTTTTCTTGATATACATAGGTGTACTGGAATCATAGTTAACGACTTTCCTTACATTACATGATTTAATATATATATTTTTTTTAAATTTAAACTGTTATGAGACCTTCAAAGGCTATGTTGGTTACTATATTATTGGCACAGTTAAGAACAGTTTGAGGGTTGATTAAAGTATTATCCTAAATTAAGAAGCAGCCATCTACATATCTATTGTATTCTATTATGCCACTGAAGTTTCTAATAATACAATTTATTTTTATCATACATAATTCAGCTAGTTTAAAGCTTATACCCATAAATATACCACCAGATTGTCTAAAATTTTTTTTTTTATTACAAGTAAAATAATTATTATTTAAAACAAATTAAACTATGATAATTGGGTAATTGAACTGATTCAAAGTATTTAATGTATTGATTATAAAAAGTTTATGTATAGATGGATTTTTAATGTCTTTAATATATTTTTAATGTCTAGACTTAACATTCTGCTTTAGTATTAATATTGAGTTTTTTTAAGTTACTAATGAATTGGTCTGTATTTTTAATCATATAATCAGAATTGTGATTTGAGTTAATTTATTCTTAAGGAATTTTTCAAAGTTGTATAAGATGTAAAATTGAATATCTACTAATGGCATGTGTAATTCTTGCAATTTGTGTGTTTTAACTTTAATATTGAGTTTAGGGACTCTTAAGTTGTAATCTAAGATAATATTAATACAAATGATTTTAACAAGATTTTTTAAAACATTTAGTTATTTTTTATAAGTTTTCATGTATGTGTGATGTAGGATCTTCATTTAGTTCAATATATTGGTGTGAAGTGACTAGATTTAGTTTAATGTTTTCATATTTTTGTTTATCCACTATAACGATTTGTGTTGATTTATCAGCAGGGACAATAATTAATTGATTATCAGTTAGAAACCTTTTAACTTGTGTTATTTGATTATTGAATCTAGTTTAGTTAACCTTATTTTTAATTTTGTTATTTGTTATAATATTTTTAAAGTTAATTCTCAATTGCTCTTTTTGATCAGTTTGCATTCTACATAATATGTATTCTAAATCAACTATAAATTCCTTGTAATTAATTTTTGTAGAACTGTTGAAGTTAAAACCTTTAGTTAAGATATTTTTAACATTGTTTGGTATTGTACAGTTAGTTTGATTTACAATTAACCTTTGTTCCAAAGTTATCCATTCATCAATGGTCGGATATTGTGCTTTTTAAACTAAACTAATTTATTGTATTTTCTTAGAGTATATGCATTATTATAGTCAATAGTGAATTTATATTATACATTTAACTTTAATTTTCTTATTCTATATTTTTTAAAATTAATTACCAAGTGTATTATTAACCTGTTTATTTTCTTCACATATGATCTTGCATAGACTTTGTTATGGTAGTAGGTAGGGTCAAGATTTGAAGTTCTATGTTCTCTGTTAAAGTTTCTTCAGATACCAGATATCTGCTGATAGATTGTTTAGTTCTTCTTCTATATCTTTAATATTCCTTGGATTTTGGGTATTCATGATATCAATTAAATTTTCCATTACTGGTTTTGTTGTGGCTTTTAAATATTGACATTGATTTAAAAATCTATATCAACAAATGCTCCTTGTGTGAAGTGTTACTGAGAGAAAAAAGCCAATAGCTTTTAATTCTTTAAAAAAACATGCATTTTTATATTTTTGCCTAGTATAACAAGAAAATAGGCAGCCCTTTTGTTACTGTAATTAAAAAAAGCTTAATTGTTAAGCTTAAATTAATAATTACAGTGTGTTCATAATAAAAGTGCAATATCAATAATAACTGCTAACTAGTTTTTGCTATATATTTTGTGAGACTGTATATCAAGATATTTTGTACAATGAAAAAAGTTACAGCAGCACAGCATTTTAAATGAAATTTAGCACAGAATGTAATGTGATTAAAGTCATTCAGTGTGTAGAATGTTTGAACACATATTTAATAATACATTATTATTCATGAATTATCATGTTTTATTAACCATTTTAATCTGATGGAAATATGACTTTACTGATTTGTAAAAGGCTGTATACCACAAAACCAACATTTAGAACAGAAATACATTTTTTTCTTCAAGCATTTGTAACCCAAAATTTAAGTAACTCGTTTTTAGCACTTTAATTCCATACATTATTAAAAATAATTACAATAATTCCTGTATTCTCTGCATTTCATTTTTATTTTATTCCAATTTTTGTAATTTTCAAACCATAAATGTGAATGTGAAGTTCAAGTGTAAAAGTAATTTTGAATGATAAATATTCAGATATTTTAAATCTCCATTCTTGCACACACTTTGTAATGTTGAAAATACTTCAAAGAGAAAACTATATAAGTTTCTACCTTGAATGTATGTTTTGCTCTGTTTATCTCACATTTAGAAAACTGATTTGTTACCATGACATACAGCTGTTTAATGGCATTATGTTTAAAATTATTAAACATTTTCTTTACTAATTGAAAATGGTTAGGGAAATATAACAACCTTTAAAATAATCCCTGTTTTAAAAAAGGCTTTAAATTATTATTATATAAGCAAATTAATAATGCCAAATTACACTTAACATAAATGTTAGCAAATGTAAAAACAAAACTTTTGATTTTACTTATTCTAATACTTTATAACATACTCCTAGAACCTAATTCTGGTGTGACAAAAAAAGTATGTAACATATCCCGGTGTTTTGTGGTGTAGTCTGATACTTTATCTTCTACTTCATCAAACATAATTACAACTGCTAAAATTATGTTATATATTTTTATTATTTTACTGAGTGACAAAAATTTGTCTTTTTCCTGAAGTGCAGGTTCTTTAAATATAAAATAAATGTTTAGCATGTCAAACACTTCAAACGTATCAACAGATTGAAAAAGTTTTTAATAGATTATATCCTCAAATAGTTTAAATTAACAGCTCATTTAATAATTCCTATGCTATATGTACAATAAAATACTTGTTTAATGCATAAACTGATATATTGCAATAAGTGATAACATTAATTATTAAACAAAATATCTCAAAGTAAAGCTCAAACTGTTAATATATACAATTTTCAACTGATACTTTTTTGGTGATTTAAAGGAAATAGATAAGTCTTTTAAAAAATTGTTAAGACTAACAAATTAGTAATTGCTGTGTAGTGTGTTCATAATAAAAGTAGAATATCAACAGTAAACTGTTTTTACTTTTTATTTTGTATGATATATTGAACAATAATGTAGCAAAAACAAGTCATATCAATATGGCTTTATTTTTTGTTACATTACAATATAGTACTTTGTTACATTCAACACACTAAATACAACTTTACAGTAATATAAAGTCAGTCTGCAAAATGATCGAACACAATTCTAAGCTGTTATTAGGTATATTTTAATAAACATTTTCAAACAATGGAAACATCACTGCTTTTAATGACATTAATTGTATTTTTAAAAATACCTAATACTTTATGGTACTGAACATAAATTTCATTACATAAAAAATGATTATTTTACTCTACTTACCCTAATCTTTTTGATATATGATAAAATAAGTCATTGTAATTATGTTAAATTTTCCATTTCTCATTTTAGTTGCTATATGTAGTTTTATGTAAGATTATTTAAGGGTTTCTATTATAATTTCTTTGTTTTTATTGAATTTCAAAAAAGAACAAATCTGTTTAATGTTCTTGATAATACTTTTAGAAAATTTGTCAAAAANACATCTATATAATTTTTACACAAAAAGCTTTTCCTCTTGAAATATAATCTCTCTCTTAGAAATCAAAACTTACTTTAAGACAAACTTTCTCATAAGATCTCATGAAAAGACAGTAATAAATTAATTCTAGATTTATTATGTTCTCCATGATTTTGTCTAGCTTAAGAATTCAAACTTTTAAATTTCAAAAAACTTATTTCAAATACTAAAATGATTCATCTATTTGTTCTATTGTTTCATAAGTTATTTAGTAGATTAGGACATAAAATGAATTATAATATTTTCATTGATCAAAAATATATTATTTCAAATCTGATCATATCATGTAATTTTTATATCAATGTCTTAAAAATGAACTTTCTTAACAAAGAACTTTAGCCTAAGTGTAACATACTAAAATTTTAAGATTTTTTAGTGTAACCTCTTAATGTGACAAAATGTATTTAGTTTTAGCTGTTTTGGTTTAATCAAAGACAATATTAAAAATTAACTGTTTTTAATATTGCTTCCAACAGTTATTTTTAGTATACAACAGTTTCTAAATTAACTATCTAATCTCTGTATTATGTATATTTAATTGTCATAATACAAAGAAGACAAAATTACTATATTTAATGTATACTACAAAAGGAATCAAACTTAAAATCCAATAAATGATGAAAATTTTAAAATATCCTTTCTCAAGTAATGTATTAACAATATATAATATATAAATGTTATTAAACATATCAACTTACCAAATCAATATTCAAAATGCACTTCTTTCACAGTTGTTGAATGACATTTAAGAAATGATGCTGGAAGACAAAATTACAGACTTTAGAGAAGACAGTATCATTGGTAGTGGATAATTTGAATATGTAAAGTTTTAACAGATCTATTTTTGATTAAATTAAGATCCCCCAAAGGGGAGTGGGCCATTCCCGGAGGTACTGCAATACCGGGTCAACCCGTGGCAGAGGTGGAGCAAGCTCCGAGCACTCCGCCGCCTTCCAAAAATCAGTTTAATATCATGGCCTCCGATGGAAGCCGTATCAGATATTAAGCTGATAAGAACAGATACTACACTTTGATCTTAGCCAAAAGGCCGAGAAGCGATAACCACAGAGAGTTCCTCTCCGAAATCATTCGCAAAACGTTCGTCCGCTCGAGGGTGAACGAAATTTCTATCATGGAGTGCAATTTCCAACAGCAACAGCATCATTTACTAATGGTTCTCACTTCAAATAACTATCACAGATCACCAATTTACTCACTACAGTTTTATTTTACTGCAAGAATTATGAAAAATTCAATTTATTAATGCTATGAGTCCTCCTCTGCCTTCATCCCCCCCTAAGACATTAACAAAATGTTGCCACCCTCACATACATCAATAGATGTCGCCTCTGTATAATTTCAACACATTATAAAAATATTTTATTTTATTCAATTTTTGAGAAGTCAAAAGTTAACAAAATCTCGAAATAATCTCAAAGTAATAAAAGAGGGGATTTTCAAAATTTTCATGCCGCCTTTTAGTTACTTTGTGTGATAACTGATAAGACGATGTTAAAGTTAACCATAAAAAATTTCAGAAACAAATTGAATTTGCTATTTCATAAAATCTTGTTAGGAACTAATATATCCGTTTTTAATTTTTATAATTATTAGCATCTAGTGTTTAATTAGATATATTTTATTTACTTTGTGTGATAACTGATAAGACGATGTTAAAGTTAACCATAAAAAATTTCAGACACAAATTGAATTTGCTATTTCATAAAATCTTGTTAGGAACTAAATTATCCGTTTTTAATTTTTAAAATTATTAGCATTTAGTGTTTAATTAGATATCTTACTACATTTTGATTAGCTATTTAAAAAAAAAAATTTTTTTCGACTTTAAAAATTTTCTTCCTGCTTTATACATAAAGCATTTTCTTATCCAGTAAATATATAAAATGTATCCGATAATTTTTAAATATTTACAATTTAATGAGAGAATTAATATTTTTGGACTGCAATTTTAAAAAATTGTAGACCTGTAAATTCCCACTGTCATCCATCTGTCTTTCGTTAATCTCAAAAACAGAGTTACATCGATAAAATTCAAGATCAGATATAAAAACCTTACGGACAGGAGGCCCCAATTAACTATATAAAAACTGCCGACGCAAACCGAAAGTCGAGTTATTTCAATTCAAAAACTTCCCCCGAAAAAATGTTAGATGACCAGCATGACTCCACTGCTAACAGGAAAAGTATGATGTACAGGGGCAAGACTCTACAGTACTAACTATAGATGGATAGCATATATTTTAAATTTAATTAATTAAAAATACAATTAAAAACTGCAGCCGGGCAATGTGACGATGTCACAATAAGTAATTGCTCGTTAATAGTAAAAAAAAAATTAATATTTAACCGTAAAAAATGAATTTATTACGTCAATCAGAAGAAAAATAAGGTGATCATTTCTAAATAAAAATTTTAAATTACCCTTTTTGTTTTTTTATTTCCTTTCGAGTTATGTTTTTTCAAGAATGAAATCAAATTGACATCGAACATTTCCATTAAATGCAGTATTTCAATTTCGGTTACGGATTCTTTTGTCCCGTTTTGGGGTATCTAAAAACAATTATTTAAATATAAGAAAATGAAATTATATAACATTACAATAAAATATGAAATTTTTACAGTATATAAATTTGATAAATTTTCAATATACTGTCATACTAACGATAAAGAGAATCGGGAACTAAATTTTCAGGGCTTTTCTTCCCTGAATTTCACTTCATCGCATCATTTCATTAAATCGCATTACTTTGTCTTGGGCGCTTCAAAAATTATTGCTTACATTTAAAACAACATAATTATTAAGTTTTAAAATGAATATAATTGAATAAACAATTTTCAATTAATCTTACGAAAAGAAAACGCTTCAAACCACCGAATTTTTATCTACAATAAATTTATCTAACATTTTATTATTGGAAATCATAAAAATATACTTACCGAATACAGAAAAATCGTTACCAATTCTCCCACCAAGACGGATAAATTAGAGTTTGAAGCCACGCTCCATTTTTAACACCCGGTTATTAATTGCAAGCAAGAGCAAGCGACAACACCTACGAAACACAATTAAATTAACTGTTCAATTTTATATTCATAATAATAATAATAATAGCCGATCATAGAATATTCATCGAAAGTCAGGTACTGAATATTACTTAATACAGTCCAAAAGTTTCAGGATCCGTACAGGTAATTCCATTTGTAATGCCATGACCAATTATGACATTATTCCCTGACCTATTAAGGTCTCTGCATTTCCCCTTTCCATTATGTAATATTCGGCCAAGTCTATTTAAACCCATTTTGCACACAATTGTATAATTGTTTTAATTAAAAAACATTTTATTCACTTCTTACAGAAAACGAAAAACTTAGCTAATTACGTAACTGATTTTACGCGATGTCATTGAAAAAATGTCATGATTTTACTTAAATTAATTCGTAAATTTTATTTAAATAAAAAAAAGACTCGCGTCGCAAAATCGAATTTTCTTAAATCAAAGAGGCCGAAAATTCAAAATAATTTAAACAGAATAAATCGCGCACTCCGTGAGAGGGTGAAATCGCTTACCGCGTCCTATTTTTGGTCCAGCACGGACCCATTCAAGGTCGTTATGTTTCTTCCCATTCCTCTTCAGAGCAGCGGCGTTTTGGCGGGAAAGCGAGTCGGGTCGATGAAGCTTTTAAAAACCCGACCTTAATTAACCAGATGTCGCGCAACTAAAAAGAATTCGGTGAATTGTGTACGGGGACACAATCGCTTAATTAATTAAGGTATCAAACCGTCTTTGTGATAAATTATTAGAGCAAAGGATAAGATATAAACCAGTGTTTCTCAACCTCTAACGAATCGTCGCCCCCCTTCACTTCAAAATTTCGATGCCGAGGACCAAGACTAACGCCAAATTCGTACTGCATTGAATAGACTTGTGACTAGTATAATGTTGTTTGTTTAATTATTGTACGATATAACGAATAAAATATCTAATTATTCTTAATATAATGTTTTACTATATCGTCCAGAAAATTGTTTTTCGCCCCTCAAAATATAAATTGTTACTAATCGCCCCCTCAACATGGAAAAACAACGGGGGCGATATCGCCTCCGTTGAGAAACACTGATATAAACGAATAAAGTCTTGCTGGTTATCACATTCCAATCGTTTGGGCGACGCTCGGGTTTCTTCAACTCTCTATTCAATCTGCATCGTTCGGCATTAGTCGTTTTGGGCTTTTCTTATTCCTTTTAAATTTTTATTTCCAATATATACCTGCCTTACATTTCTGTTCACATTTCCTTCGACTCTCACGCTTATCGGCTTGTAACTTTAAAAATTCTATTTTATCGCTATTACTGCTAAATAATATTGTAGATCCTGTCATTCCGTACAGATCGACATCAATTTCGACGTCCTATCTCTTCGCGATCCAGTTGTACACTGCCCAAACGCCGTGCGGCCTCGCCGTTTTCAATGTTAACGCGCAACCACAAACCTCCCTGACAACTGCACACCCCACTACCTATCATTTTAAACACGAACATAAACCTCTATCCAACAACATTTTAATCGTTACATTATCATTTATAGTTTAAGAGAGATAAGCGCGACAAACTTGCCATTCATTTGGTAGCTCCAGTTTTCGTATACCGAACACAGTTTATATTTAAAGACGTATTCAGATCAAAAAGGAGCGAGAGCAACAGACGGATTCCGCGGTATTTGCAGATTCCCTGATTTTCGCTGCTAAAAATCTTATTTCCTGTCTTTCCAGGTCTGTACCTACTAGTTCTTTAAAACAAGAATTTGGAATTCTTAGAAAACTAAATTGTTTCCCCCATTTACTTGGATGGCTGCAGCACCTGTTGGAGCAAGTATCAATACTTAGAAGCTATCGTTCCCTCGGGTTTTGCTTACCAATTTTACTATGGCCTTAATTAGTTTTCTTTTTCCAGTAACTGTTTTTCAAATTCTAGCACAAAATCAGCCTCACAACTACTTTACTCTTTTCGGTTTGTTTTCGCTTCAATGGCTCGTCTTGTCTTAGCAGATTTTTTCACTCTGACATCTTTGTTTTTTTTTTTAAAACAAAGCAAAACCAGAATAATTAAACAAACGTAATAGTATTAAACAATTTATATTTAGACCAAATTGACTCCTTGATATGAACTGTTCCCATAGAGCAGTGTTTCTCAACGGGGGCGATATCGCCCCATGTGGGCGTTTTTCCATGTTGAGGGGGCGATTAGTAACAATTTATATTTTGGGAGGAGAAAAACAATTTTCTGGGCGATATAGTAAAACATTATATTAAGAATAATTAGATATTTTATTCCTTATATCGTACAATAATTAAACAAACAACATTATAATAGTCACTAGTCTATTCAATGCAGTACGAATTTGGTGTTAGTCTCTGCCCTCGGCATCGGTATTTTGTAGTGAAGGGGGGCGATACTACGTAACGGTTTTACTAAGGGGGCGACGATTCGTTAGAGGTTGAGAAACACTGCCATAGAGTATGGAGATAAATAAATACATTGAAACCAAAATCCAAGAAAAGGAATTCATAAAAAAAAAATGCTGCAAAAATAATTCACTAATAAGAATTTTTGGAGAAAGTAGACTAACAAATAAAAGCACATGCAAAGGAAACGGAAACAAACTATTTACGCAAGCTTTTTTATCTTAAATAATATGCACAATCGTAAAAATTGCCATTACAGGTTTAAGAACCAAACCCTTATATTTTATTTAACCACTTGATAGATTTCTATCAAAACTATATAGATCATCTCATATATACAAATAAGTTATTCTTAAAATTTCATAAATTTCGGTTGTGTAATTCTTTAGTTATCGCGTAAACACAGAGCCGTGGATTTCTGAAATTAAGGAGTGTTCGCTTAACACTCAGACTAATTAAAACATGCAAAGGGCACTAAAACATTTCCTAAGGAACACAGTTTACTCGTCCTATAATTCTGGAAAGGTTAAATGGAAATGCGAATGTTCTTTATATGTTTTACAATTTATGTTGTATTGATAGCAATACACGTTTATTGAAACTAAAATGTGTAAGGTTAAAAAATTAATCTTGGATTCCTAGTCTCCATTTGCACGAATAATAACACCAGCACGTTGAATGTCACGGACGCGAATTCTTTCAGTGAACGTCGTCACCGAACAAACGCGTACCACGTGACATCCTCAATACGTTCGTGTTTCCACCTGCATAAATCCAAGACAGGCACACCCAATTTCATATTTCAAACCCAGAACTAATACGGTAAATATGAACACAGATGCGATTCAATGGATCTACATTCTAGACAACAAATCTTAGAAGTCATCACAAAAATACAAACATTGCACCCATACTTAACTTGTTTCCGGTTGATTGTATTCTTACCTCTGCGAATCTTCGGCAACTGAAAAAGGCGATCATTGCTTTTAAAGACCAAACATCCAAACACCAAGCGACAGCGGTAATAATTTTTGAACAGACCGAATGGCAAATAGAACTTTCAAAAATTTAATTTACTGGTTTCACGCAATTACTCTTGGATAGCTTTTAGTAAATTTTTAATAATAAAAGCTATATTAATTAATTTAATATTAAAATGTGATTTCATAAAAACTGTTTTACAAAATTATAGGTTAAGTACCTTTGTACTTTAGAAAATTAATTCAAACCTTCTGACTTATGCAGAGCTCCACTCAATAAATTCAAAATCTAGCATTTTCGTTGTTCCATTCACTTGGAATATCAAACTTCATTCGCAACTTTAATAAATTCAATAATATACATTTTCTATGAAAATTTTTATTTATCAGAAGAGAAAAATCCATATTTCTGATTTCTAGATGTATTATTATATACAACATTAGGTTAATTGAATTACTAACAATATATATAATAATCAAATTGTATTAATTAGGATTTAAAGAGGTATTAAATGATTAAATCAGCCTCTAGAAACCCATATTCACTTCGAAAAACAAAAATAAAGAAATGTTTCATTATTCTGTTTCAATAAACGAATATTCTTATTTATAACACAATTAAAAGTTATATATCTTTCATAAATTTAATACCTTAAACTTATAACACAGTACGTTTCACAAATTTTGGCCGGAGAATCTAACGATTTGGTGCTCTGGAAACTTTAAAGAAATAATACACGGGCGACCCGAAAGTTGCTTCGGATCCTATTAGTTCGGATCGTATAAATCATTTACATAGTGAAAAATTCATCCTTCCTACTGTCTATCGCAGCAGCCCGTTCAAAATTCGTAGACGTTGTGCATTTTTTTTTTATTTTCCGCGTGGGAAGTTATTTCAGACTCCTTTATTTTCTACAAAGGTATTTAAAAATCAAATTTGCAAAATTATATTACCTTAATTCCTACTACTGTACGGTATATATAAATTTAATAACTAGATATCTAATTAAAATATAATTAACTAATTGCGTAATTAGTTAACTATATCAAAAATATACGTAACAAAAATCCAAAATCACCCTGTATTCATGATCGCGCAGAGATCTTAACAGATATTTCATTAATAATGTATAGTTTTTCTTCACTTTCGTTTTAAACATTGTCAATTGTAAAGATGGAACTTGAAAATCCGACTGTCATTATACCTATATATAGATCAAATATAATTCAGATAACGAGACAATGGATATAACAACTTACGATTTTGCTGGTTACCGTAAAACCTAAACTCAGGGCTGTGGAGTCTGAGACGTGGAGTTTTGGTTATTTAGCCGGAGTCGTCAAAAAATCCGCCGACTCCGACTCCTTTTTACTTACCAACTTGTTATGTATATAAAACGGA